ACCTCATAGTCGCGTGAATAATCGAGGCCGACTTTTAGTATTGCGGCCGATAAGCCTCTTCATCAGCTATGTGATTCCACCATATATCCTCACAATACTTATTATTTTTATGCAAAGTTTCGAAGGCCGGATAGATATACGATGTCCCATCAAATGGTTTCGGAAAATGAAATGCCTCATTGAGAAAAAGAAAGAGGAATTGAGTGATCATTATTAAAGACTTGGAAGGATAGAGTTGGAGGCGAATCACCATGCTCATCTTCATGAACCTCAAGAGAAGCGAGGAACTCGAATGTAATGCGGGCAAATGTTGGTGCATTAAGATCAATGAAAGCCTTAAGCCCTAAGTTTCGAGCCAACATCCTAACGTCCTCATCAATTCCAAGCAAAGTTGTTGTCTCCCTATCATAGAATCTTGTGGAAAAAAGCTGTCGAGGTGACAAGTTGTAGAAGTTGTCCCAATGCTCTCGCTTGGTGAACTCGATGCCATATGTCTCAGTGATTTAGGATGGAGGAGAAACCACCTTCCTATGAGTAGAGTATCTCGCCCTTTTAGCACGACGAAGGGACGCAATCTACACACCACAAGCAATATAAAGGTTCGATAACAAGGGAAAATTGTGTGCAAAGATAATGCATGATAATGGGAAATCCCATAAGGACCACAATAATCAAGGGAATAAGCAAGAATTCACAATCAAGTGAAAAATGCACTTAGAAAATCACATTTATAAACCATAATCATGCATAGTGAGCAACAACATTTCGTATGACCATCCAAATCCTTATGGACATCATCATCATCTAATCAACAACACCAGATAATGAATCCAACAATGGTAGTGCCAAAATTTTCAATAATCTCAAACAAAATCAACAACACCAAATCATATATTTATCAACAATTCATCATCAACACAATCAAATGAAGCAAGTAGTAAGCAATATGGGTATGCTAATAAGGGTAGTACCAAACCAAATCAAATTTCCATGAACAATAAAGGTAAAAAAATTATCATGAGAATAAAGAAACCATACCTTTAATGGATGAGAAATCACAAAGAAATGGAGCAAGGAGCACTATTACACACTAGCAACCCCAAATTGCAAACCTCAAAACTTCAATCAAAGAGTACCAAAAATCTCAATTTAGGAGAGAGAAAATCACCATGGAAGTGCAAAAATTGAGACTAAAAGCAATAATAAACTAGATGATTATGAATTTTGATGAAATTTCAATGACTATATGATGATGGAGGTGAAAATGATGCTTGAGCAAAGACCAAAGAAAACATGAGTGAGAAAGTAAGGTAAGAGAGAGAGAGAGATAAAGAAAGAGAATCGGTGGGGTTTAAGGGGGGAAGACGAGCAGGGGTGCACGGCCGCACCTGGATCCTGCGCGCCTGCACCTCCCTGGGTATTGAACTTTACCATTCTCTTTTCCTTTTTAAATGCGCACAACGGTGGGCACAATAAGAACCCACCAATCTCCATACTTACACATTTTCCAACTCATGAATTTGGACATTTCTACCTCAAAATTGGCACCAAGATTGTTGGATATCAAATCAAAACCACATGCAACACAAAAGAAAACAAGATTAAAAGAGAATAAAGTCATCAAAGGAAAATCAAAGAAAAATGAGAAAAGGGTTAAAAACTCGGGTTGCCTCCCGGTAAGCGCTTGTTTAACGTCGTTAGCTGGACGTTCTCCACCCTTCAAGGTGGATCATAGAGAGTCATATCATGAATGACCCCGACAAAAACTCCCACATAGTAATGCTTAAACCTATGACCGTTGACCTTGAAAGTCCTTGAGAGGTCCAAAGGAGAAATTTCAATAGGACTATTTGGGAAGACCTCTTGAAAAACAAATGGACCGGTCCAATGGGACATCATTTTTCCGGGAAAAAGTCTCATTCTTGAATTTTAAAGGAGCACCTTATCTCCGGGATTGAACTCCTTCTTCTTAATGAGCTTATTATGCACCTCTTTGGCTCTAGCTTTGTATAAACTAGCACAATCATAAGCATCCAAACGAAGCTCTTCCAACTCATGGAGATCTAACCAACGTTGCTCACCCGCACTTGCCAAATCAAAATTGATCTTCTTTATAGCCCAATGAGTACGATGCTCAAGCTCAACTAGGAGATGGAAAGATTTACCATAAAACAAGCGGTAAGGAGTGGTACCAATAGGATTTTTAAAGGCCGTTCTATACGCTCACAAGGAATCATCAAGCTTATTCGACCAATCCTTCCTATTTCTTGCAACCGTCTTCTCAAGTATCAACTTGATTTGACGATTGGACACCTCAACTTGCCCTCTAGTTTGAGGATGGTAAGGGAGCCCAAAACGTTGGTTTACCCCATGTTTCTTCAACATCTTTTTGAAAGCACTATGCACAAAATGAGACCCGTTGTCGCTTATAACCGCCTTGGGAATGCCAAACCTTGGGAAGATTATCTTTTTAAACAACTTCATTACCACCTTATGGTCATTTGGTGGAGAAGAAATGGCTTCAACCCATTTTGACACATATTTGACGACAACAAGAATGAATTGATTCCCATATGATGAAGGAAAAAGACCCATGAAATCTATTCCCCAAACATAAAAAATTTCCAACTCAAGGATGGGTTGTTGGGGCATCTCATTTCTCCTTGAAATGTTCCCGGTCCTTTGACATCGGTCACAACTTTTGACAAATTCCCAAGTGTTCTTAAAGAGGTTTGGCCACCATAATCCGCATTGAAGCAACTTAGAAGCCGTTCTAGAAATACCCATATGTCCACCACTAGGATCCGAGTGGCACATCTTCAACACATTTGGTATTTCCTTATTTGGCACACATCGACGTAACAAACCATCAACACCTCTTTTATACAAAATCGGCTCATCCCAAACATAGTGCCTAGCTTCTCTCTTAAGCTTCTTTCTACGATTCTTCGAAAAAGAAGGAGGAAACTCCCCATAAGCAAGGTAATTAACCAAATCGGAAAACCATGGGAGTTCCTTCACATTTATCGAATACAAGAAGTCGTCCAACATTCTATCTTCAATAGGGGACCCATCATCTTGGACTTGAAAATCATCAAGTCTAGATAAATGGTCCCAACCACGTTTTTCGCTCCATTCTTGTCTCAAATCTCAAGATCAAAAGATTGAAGTTCAAGAACCCAACGAATTAACTTTGGCTTAGATTCCTTTTTCCCAAAGAGGTATTTCAAAGCCGCATAATCGGTGAACACAATAGTCTTGGACCCCAACAAGTAACAACGAAATTTTTCGAAGGAATGAACAATTGCTAAGAACTCCTTTTCCGTTGTTGTGTAATTCCTTTGAGCACCATTAAGGATCTTCGACATGTAATAGATGACATGGAGCTTCTTATCAACTCTTTAACCTAACACTCCCCCAATAGCCGTATCACTATCATCACACATAAGCTCGAAAGGCAAATCCCACCTAGGGGGTTGGACAATGGGAGTGGAAGTCAAAGCTTTCTTCAATTTGTTGAACGCCTCCAAACAATTATCATCAAACACAAAATTAACATCTTTTTTGAGAAGGTCATTGAGGGGATTGGCAATGAGTGAAAATTCCTTGATGAATCTCCTATAGAACCCCGCATGCCCCAAAAATGATCTCACTCCCTTTACATTCACCGGGGGAGGAAGCTTTTTAATAACCTCGATCTTGGCCTTATCCACTTCTATTCCTTTATGAGAGATTTTGTGTCCAAGAACTATTCCTTCCTCCACCATGAAGTGGCATTTTTCCCAATTCAACACTAAGTTAACTTTCTCACACCTTGCTAAGAATTTTCCAAGATTCTTAAGGCAATCCTCAAACGAAACCCCCCTATGGAGAAATCATTCATAAAAACCTCCATTTCTTCCTCCAACATATCTCCAAAAATGCTCATCATACATCTTTGGAAAGTTGCGGGAGCATTGCAAAGACCAAACAACATTCTCCTATAGGCGAAGATTCCATAAGGGCATGTGAACGTTGTCTACTCTTGATCATCGGTGTGAATCGGGATTTGAAAAAAATCCCGAGTAACCATCAAGGAAGCAATAAAACTTGTGCCTTGTTAGTCTCTCAAGCATTTGATCAATGAATGGAAGGGGAAAGTGATCCTTCTTGGTGGATGTGTTTAGACGTCTATAGTCTATACACATACGCCAACCGGTGACCGTTCTAGTCGGAATTAGCTCACCTTTCTCATTCTTGACTACGGCCATACCCCCCTTCTTTGGAACGACATGAACGGGAGAGACCCACCTAGAGCTTGAGATGGGGAATATGATTCCCGCATCCAAAATCTTGGTGATCTCTTTCTTAACTACCTCCCCCATTTGGGGATGTAGCTTACGTTGTCGTTCAATAGAGGGAAGGGTGCCTTCCTCAAGCGTTATATGATGCGTACACAAAGCGGGGCTTATACCTTTGAGATCACCAATGGTATAGCCCAAAGCACCTTGGTGCTTTCTCAAAACATCACATAGCGCTTGAGCTTGGCTCTCACTCAAGGATGCACTAATAATTACGGGATAAGTAGAATTTGGGCCTAGGAATTCATACCTAAGGTGTGATGGTAGAGATTTGAGCTCTACCATAGGCACACCTTTCCCTTCTTTGGTCGAGGCTACTTGTAAAGCATCTTGATTTGAGATCCCCATGCAAATTTGTTCATCGCTTCCTTCAATGCTTCTATGAAGTAAATCTTCATACAATTTTAGTTCCTTGCTAGGAGCACCTATCTTTTCGTTGTTCAACAAAACACACTTAAGAGGATCATTAGATGTGAGTAAGTGCTCATGCATGGATTGCACAATATTATCAAGAACGTCAACACTCATGCAATTTTCAAAGGAAGAAGAGGGATATTTTATACCTTCATTAAAATCAAACTAAACTACCTCATCTCCTATCTTAAGAGTTATCTTAGCACTCTTGACGTCAATCATAGCCCCCGATGTAGCAAGGAATGGTCAACCTAAGATGATAGGGATAGTAGCATCTTCATCCATATCCAATACAACAAAATCTACCGGAATGACAAATTTCCCCACCCTCAAGGGAACATCTTCTACCTTACCTTTTGGGATCTTGATCGAGCTATCGGATAATTGCAATGTAATCTTGGAAGGTAAAAGTTCCCCTAGCTCTAGTCTTTGATAGACCGAATATGGCATAAGTCTAACACTAGCTCCTAAGTCACATAATGCATTATCAAATTGCATCATATTAATAGCACAAGGGATAGAGAAATTTTCGGGATCCTTCAACTTATGTGGCATCTTATTCATTAGGATCGCACTACAATTCTCGGTTAGGGTAACGGTCTCCACCATATCACATGTCCTCTTTCCACTCAAATTTTTTTTAAGGAACTTAGCATAGTTTTGGAATTTGTTCTACCACATCGGTGAAAGGAAGAGTAAGATGAAGTTGCTTAAGAATTTCTATGAATTTTCCAAATTGCTCATCCAATTTGTGCCTATTATACTTTTGGGTATAAGGGAGCTTGGGCTTTTAAAGTTCTTTCACTTTCTCTTTCACTCTTTCTACTTGTTCCTCCTCAATTTTCTCAATTATGGGACCCTCATCTCCCTGAATCTCAATAGGGCTCTTGCTAGTACTCTCTCTAGCATCACTCTTCTTAGGTACTCCACTCTCAAGGACCCTACCACTCCTAGTGACAATTGCATCAATAAGGTTATCTAAGTTCAATGAAGTCAAAGAAGAAGAAGAATTCTTAAATTCCTTAAAGTTACTAGCCAATTGAGAAAGTCGGTTTCCTAGCTCCTTATTTTGAATCAACATGTCATTAAACTTCTCATCATTCACGACCATGTAAGATTCTAGCAAATTGGCTTGTTTCTCAAAAACCTATTCCAAAAAACTCCTAGAAGAAAATGGTTGATCATGGAAATTATCACTTGGCCCTTGAGTATTTGGAATGGATCCAAGTGGGGTACCTCTTTGATCATTAGGTTGAAAATTTCACCTACTTTGATTATTCCAATTACCCCTAGCTTGATTTTGGCCATGATGTTGACTATGGTTACCATAACCTTGATTATGATCCCCATGCCCTCGGCCGTGACTTTGACCATTATAACCATGATTGTTATAGCTACCACAAATCTCTTGGACTCCATGATTTCTACAACCACCACTTTGATTATAATTATCATAGTTCTCTTGGTTGTGATAATTCCTATTTCAAACATTTCTTTGAACTTCAAATCTAGGTTCAAAATTATGGTTACCAACGTAATTCACATGTTCATTTTGAATTCCATCACATTCTTCACAAGGAACATTGGGGCACATAAAAGCATCATGATCATTCATTCCACATAAATCACAAGGCCGACATTCTCTAATCATGCAACAAGAAGAAGGAAAAGTGTTAGAGTAATAAGGTGTACCTCTCCCCTTATTTTGGGAGGGAAGAATCGGGGCTTGCGAAGGAGGACTCTCAAGCTTGGCCTTGAGGGATACGACCTCTTTCCCTAAATCCGAAATTAGAGTGGTCAATTCGTTGATGTCATTGAATTGTTCGATCGAGCACCCCTTTCTAGTTGGCTCCTTTTCCACCTCTTGCCAATTCATATAATGTCTCACCACTTTATCTACTGCATCCACCACTTCTTCTTCCGTTTTGTTCATTATCGGGCCTCCGGCTCCGGCATCTAAGCTTGCTCTTCCTTGAGAACTCAACCCACCATAGAAGATTTGTATAATTTGGTAGGTAGGAATTCCATGATGTGGACATTCTCGTTGATACTCCTTATACCTCTCCCATGCTTCATAGAGACTCTCATTAGGCCCTTGCTTGAAATTTTGGATCAAATCCCTAAATTATGTCGTTTTCATTTGTGGGAAAAAAGCGAGATAAGAAAGACTTAACTTCATCCCATGTCCTTATGGACCTAGGTTTGAACTCCTTGTCTAACCATTCTAAAGCTCTTCCAATAAGAGAAAAGGGAAACAACTTGAGCCTAATATACTCTTGAGCAACTCCGGCTACCACAATTTTATTACAATACTTCTCAAAATCTTTGAGATGATTGAGAGGATTTTCACTTTTTGCACCACCGAATTGTTTCCTCTCAATCAAGGTAATCATAGCTTGTTTGTTTTCAAAATCGTTATCCGGAACCAACAATGGAACAATCCCACTCTCATACTTGTAAGCACCCGGAGTGCCTAACTCCTTCAATGTCACTTTATGAGCTTCTTCCATGTTCACTTGCACACACAATCTCAAACAAAATTATTAGTAACACGGCAAAAAATGTAGCCTAAAATAAAGAAGAAAAATCTTTTTGTATTTTTGAATAAGATGGAATAGACTCAACAACAATACACAATCACAATGCCATTCCCCGGCAACGGCGCCATTTTGACGAGGGTCGAGACTAGGTCGTTGAAAGTAACCCCTACCCAAGGCCAAACAAAATTTGTAATCTCTCAACACACCCTTATGCAAGTACAATGGTAAGTAGAGGGTCAAACCACTAAGGAATGGAGAACGATCTTACATTGCCAAGTCAAGCTATTTCGGAAAGGTTAGGTAAGGATGTGAACGCTAAACAACTAGACAAGCTAGGTTTGGACAAATGTAATAAACACTAGGGCTCGGGATCCACATATACTTGTAACGGATTTCGCTAATTAGGAAAGAATTGACTAAGTCGAGTGATGCGAGGGAAAACCAATCATGCAACCAAAAGAGCATATCAAGCTATTTTCCTAGAGGTCTAACTAGCATCAACTACGATAAACTCTAGCTAGGAACGTCACAAGACACCTCAAGCGTTAAATTCAAGCCACAAATCAATGGTCCGTATCAATGTGAACCTACAATGCAATCGAGTGTGAATAACTAGGGTGATCAAGCCTAAATCCAACACACACATGCACATAATCAATTAACCAATTTAATTACATCATCACCTCCATCAATTTCCCCAAATTAACATCAATCCATTACTCATACATGCTTCACCATTACCCTAGCAATCAAACTACTCACTAGCCATTGAAATCAAGATCAAAACAAGGCTAAACAATAAATTCATCATGATCAAATTAAACAAGCTAAAATCAATCACAAATCAATCAAACTTGAAAATTCAAAAAAGCAATTGAAATCAAACTAAAGATCAAACTAAAGATTGAATTAAAGAAAAGGAATTCTTACAAACTTGATCAAAGATCAAAGGAAATGGAGAAATCTTCAATCATCAACAATCCACCATGGAATTCTCTCTCTAAAAATCTAGAGTTTCTCTCTCTAAAAATCTAAAACTAACTATAATTCTATTCTAATTCTCTTCTCCTAAAATTAGAAGGAAAAACTATATATAGGAAAGATACAATAGAAGAGTTAGTTAGATCGTCCCAAAAGAAACCCCGGAAGGCTCGGTTGCAGTGGAGGAGAGGCGCGGCCGCGGGAAAAAAGGTACGGAACAGGGGCCCTTGCAGGCGCGCCCGCGCCACCCAGGTGCGCGGCCGCACCATCCTCGTGCGCGCCCGCTCCTGGCAGCAGGAGAGCCCCCCTCTTCTTCGTCCAAGCTCATCCTCGTGCGCTCGTCTTTATGATGATGATGAACACCAAGGTGGGAAGTCTTGAAAGGGCCATTTTGGTGGGTTCATGGCAAAGATGACGCCCCCACTGCATACGTGCACCAATCTCTTGACTTTCTCCTTGCATTCCTTTAAACTTCAAGTTCCAAAAGGCGAACATGAGGCATCCAAATTTATGAGAAATATGAGAGGAAGGCTCGAGGATCCTTTGAAACATGATCATAACCAGAAAACAAACAAATAAAAGGGAAAAAGAACAAATAAACAAAGAAATGCACAAAACAAGGAAACTAACTATGGAAAGCACAAACTAACGAAATAAAGAACAAAACTAAGGAAAAGGGCTATAAAATAGCATGAGTATCATCCTAAAAGAGGCCAAATGAGTGCCATAAATGACACTCATCAATAAGTCGTGTTGAATGCAATTACTGATCCAAAAGTCTTGTAATTACCTTGACATATCCTATCACACCAAAACATTTTTTCTATCCCATCGTAATCATCACGTGTGTACCTTAAGAAAAAGAAGGGTTAGAGGTTGTTTTCCAAGTATGTACGCTAACACAATTTATGTGTCTCCATCCTTTATCTCCTATTTTTTGAACTTCTCACATGTATTATACAAGTCTTTTGTTAAGAACCAAACTTCACGTATCCTCCCTGCAGTTTGTGCTAAATTTCTCATAGTGATGGATGGTTTCACTCCAGACTGAATTAAGGACTTAATTCGAAGCTCATCTGCTTCGGTGACTTTTTTGTGGCTCCTGTCATGTATTTGAAAAATTTAATATTATTTAACGAATGTAGAAACTTAAATATTTAATTAATTATGATGTATATGACATAAAGTGAAAACCAACCTTTCAAAACAGACTTGGTTCATGGGAACTAAATCATGGCCATAGTGCTCAGCCACAAATTCTTTCACGTACCATGAATCATACCGGTGATCCCACTTGAAAGTTATGAATGCATTGCAACCACATTGTGTTATCGACCTCTCTCTATGCTTTCTATCAGGTCTTCCCAAGTGTTTTGTTTCACGAAACCCTTCTTTGTTACACCAAATCTTTTGTGAAGTCGGATGACCATCAACTTTGCTCATTGTTGCATGCTTTAGACGGATTCCAAAACCTTTAACCTTGGCGTACATGTTATAAAATTTAATGCAGGTATGATGGCTTTTGAAAGACAGTTGTTGCATATCTTGGAAAATGAAGTCTTCTATCTTCTTGCCAATTATTTCCCATATGTCAGCAAACAAATCAAGAATATCATCATCTTCGGTGTCTGATACATTTTTAATCTCATCCTAATCGTCACTATCTTGTATTAATTATGGGACAAATGTCGTATTTAGGATTTTTTTACATTGCTAAAAATAATTTTTTTGCATTGTATGTGAAATCATATATATTACCTCTGGATTTTGCATAGCATCCTCAATTGGATCCTGATTTTAAAATTGTCAATGTATCCATGTTCATAAAAATTAAATTTGACACACACCATTTATCGTTAATAAATATGAATTATTTAAAATAAAACAAACCACAATAAATACATGTTAATGCCACCTACCTCAACTTCATGATCATCATCTTGATTGATATCATTAGCTTGCATATGTGAGTCTTCTTCTCTACCAACATCCATATATGGGGTCTTCTTCTTTACCAGAGACCCGTGTTGACTT